TGTCAAATGGCAGAGACCTTTCAATGGGCAGAATGGCCTTCTCCTGCTCCTATTTTCTATATTGTTCTAACTTCACCTTGTGTATTTTCAAACCAATGTCTATTGCTTTCCATAAGATAGCATTCTCTAACATCGTAGGGCCAGGACAATGAGAAAATGTCCTGAGTAAGTCTGTGAGTATGCACTAAGTGTACAGCCTTACAATATAATGACACATTTCTAACCAATGCTGATGTTTTCTGATTGTGTGTCAGTTTCATTTATATAATAAAATCAGCAAGCTCCAGGTTTAAACTCGGACTGCATTTGCAAATATTTCAGAATGGGTCAGGAAATCACATTTGAGCTGAAGGATTTTATTTTATAGTTAAATGTTGGTAAAGCCACATTTGGATTATTGTGCGCATTCCTGGTCACCCTACCATAAAAAGGATATTATTAAACGAGAAAGAGTGTCGACAAGATTTACTAGGATGCTACCTGGACTGGAACGTTTGAATTATAAGCAGAGGTTGGATAGGCTGGGACTTTTTTCCCTGGAGCATAGGAGACTGAGGGGTGACCTCACAGAGATCTGTAAAATCATGAGAGACAAAAATAAGGAGATAACGAGCAGCTTTTCCCAATGGCAGGGGAGTCTAAAACTAAAGTGCATAGATTTAAGGTAAAAGGTAGGAGACACAAAAGAGTCCAGGGGACAATCTTTTCACATAGAGGGTGGTGAGTGTCTGGAACGGGCTGCCAGAAGTACTGGTGGAGGTGAGTATAATTTCAGGCATTTAAGAAACATTTAGACAAGTACATGGATGGGTTAGGTGTGGAGGGATATGAACCAAACACAGGCAAATGAGACTGGATTAGTTGTGAAAACATGGGCAGCATGGACAAGTTGGGCCAAAGGGCTAGTTTCCATGTTGTAAACCTCAATGACTCTATGACTTTAGATGTAGGAACTTAGAGATATAACCATATAATCATGAATTGCTGGACGTAAATACAAAAATCTGGTGAACAGCTACAATAGTTCAAGACATATGATTGTTGGCAACACGAAGATTGCTGTGTTAATTGGCAGTGGTCTTACATTGCGTTCTATTCTGAAGAGAGCATTACAAGTTGTTTGAAAGGAAATGGAATATGACCACCTGAGAACATAGCAGATCATTATCATCACACATTTGGGAAATGACAGCTGTGGGCCACTTGCCCTGTTTGACAAATCATCCACATCTGGCAATTTTTCCAGGTGGTGAGGTAGGAAGTTTCAAGGCAGCATTGTCAGAAGTCATGGGCGAGACATTAATAAACATTGGGCGTAGCCATCCTTCCAATTGCTCATCCTAGTTTGTCTATCCAGAAAAGGCATGTTGGCATAAGAAGGATTCTCACTGGGAAAGCTCCCATCCTTATTTTTGAAAAAAAACTGCATTTATTTAACACTTTCTAAACCCAATGGTTTTCTCAAAGTGTTTTGCAGGCAATAAAGTGTAGTCACTGCTGTAATGTCAGAAATGCAGCAGACAGTTTGGGTATAAACAGCAATGTGATGATGAGCAGGTAATTTCACTGAATCACAGGATTGTTATGGCTCAGACAGAGCCCATTCAGCCAATCATGGCTGTACTGGTTCTATTACACCGTGCCAATTTCCTGCCTCTTCCCAATACTCCTGCTCACCATTTCTATCCAAATAAATCATCCAATACCCTCTTGAATGACTCAATTGAGCCTGTCTCCTCCACATTTTCAGGCAGTGCATTCCATATCCAATTCTTTTTATAATATTGCTGTAGGGATAAATACCGTAGGCAGAGAAAAAGTTCAGTCCCAGAACATTTAGTACAGAGATCTCTGGCAAATTAAGTGGGTGCAGGTAAAAAATGGTCAATTAAACAAGAACGGTTAAAAAAAGCTCACCTGCATTAAATTTCCTCCAGCAAGCTCTGTAAAATGCCTCTGTGAACATTGGACTTTTTTAAACATGTATTTACTGCGCTCGATTAAGCATGCAAGGAAAGTAAATTTTCGAACAGGAAATGTGGACGTCTGTGTTTTCCCACAAGCTGAGAATTTTGATTTCTACAGTGTGTTGTATTGGCTCTGAGATATTCCTGTCTGAACTCCAGCCTTAGTTTCTAGAGATGAGAGGACGGTTGAGGAACACAAGTCAATCCCTGACCCCAGTTGGTCACGGGCCGGGACTAGGGAGAGCCAATAGAAGGCACCCCTGCTTCTCTTGACCCACTAGCTGTGTTGCGAGTAGACTTAACATCAGCCCTAAGGTGGCCTCGCCACAATTCAGCTGCTGAGCTTCTCGATACTGGGGAAATCAGATTATCTCAACTTTATCTTATTCTTTCATGGGATGTGGGTGTCGCTGGCTAGGGCAGCATTTATTGCCCGTCCCTAGTTGCCCTTGAGAAGGTGGTGGTGAGCTATCTTCTTGAACCGCTGCAATCCATGTTCTGAATGTGGACCCACAATGCGCTGAGGGAAAGAATTCCAGGATTTTGACACTATGGGAAGTGATGGTCTCGTGGCATTATTGCTAGACTATTAATCCATAAACTGAGCTAATGTCCTGTGGACCCAGGTTCAAATTCTGTCATAGCGGATGGTGAAATTTGAATGCAATGAATAAAATTTAGAATTAAGAATCTATTTGAGGAAAAACCCATCTGATTCACTAATATCTGGTCCAGCCTATGTGTGACTCCACATCCACAGCAATGTGGTTGATTGTTATCTACCCTCTGAATTGGCCTAGCAAGCTACTCAATTATATCAATTGCCACAAAGTCTCAACTACAGTTGACAAACCTGATTCAAACAGATGCAGAAAACCTCACTAATGTCCTTAAAATGGCACCCAGCATCCTGTGACTGGATTAGTTTACTGTATCTTACCCTGTCTCGAATAAACTCTGAAGTTGGCAGATTGGAGCAGGTTTCCCTAATGTGCTAGGAATGTTTCTAACATAGTCATTTCTCCACAGCCAGCTGTACCTGATCACTCTTTTAAAGTTTTATGGTGGCACAGTGGTTAGCAATGCTGCCTCACAGCACCAGGGACGAGGGTTCAATTCCAACCTTGGGTATATGCCTGTATGGAGTTTGCATGTTCTCTCCGTGTTTGGGTGGGTTACCTGCCACAATCCAAAGACATGTAGGTTAGGTGGATTGGCCATGCTGAATTGCCCATCATTTACAGGGATGAACAGATTTGGTCAATTAGCCATGGTGAATGTGGGCCTTTGGGGATAGGATGGCTGGGGTGCTGGGTCTGGGTGGGATGCTCTTTGGAGAGTTGATCACAGACTGGATGGGCCAAATGTCCTCGTTCTGGATAGTATGAATCTATGAAATAATTGCAAAATGCCACTGTAAATATTGAACTTTTTAAAACACATTTCCATACAAGGCACGGGACACCACTGTATATAAGTGGGTAGGTGAGCGAGAAAAAAAATGTAACCATTAAGAAGTTTGTGGCCTTGGGATTAAGTTTGGTTTCCCAAATCATAGTAGCGGGTTTGATACCATAATATTGAATTTTTATTCTCTCTAAAAAATTCAGAGTATTTACTTCAAAGGAAGGATGGATGTTTGGAATGGACTGTCAAGGGAGCGATTACTGTTAAGTAGGTCAGAAAACTCAAGAGTTAGCTGACTGTGTACCTGACCAAAAGATAGAGAGGTTTGAGAGATATTGTTAGCTTCTTCATTTCCTGAACAGTTTAAACAGCAGAATAGCTATCCTTCTGCATTCTAATGTAATTGATGACCATTTCTGGAGCCAAGTGCAGAACCTACCTGTAAAGAAAATAAGTGGAAATTTGATTTCCAACCAATTTTTCCAACTGATTACACTGGCTTTACCCATGACTAGGTACAACCGATTCCAAAATAATGTAGCCACAGTAATTGGCAGCAATGTAACATCGGCGACTGGGGACAACTTGAATGCACATTTTCTTGGTTTACATTCATAAACTTGGAGGTCGCAAAATACAACAGACTATTTCACTTCAATGGATGTAAACAAATTTGGTTCGAAGCAATTTCACTGCCCAGCTGGAACCTTTCCTATCTGAAAAAACTATTTCTTTTCTAAGGCAGTTGTCAAGTCTTTGGGCATAGTGTGTCAATGCATTAATGTGTTCCTGCATTTTTAATGTCCTCAGTGTCAAGGCAATATCGTCTAATGAAGTTTGGTTTCTGTTTAACTATGGCTTACACTGAACGTAAATGACTAACGAGAGTGGATTTTTCTTTTGGCTCTCACTATGCTTTGGATCACAGTTAATGAGAATGACTACCAAGAAAAAGAGTTTTGTCGTAATATATGTATTGCTCTCCAGACCAGTTAGCTGCTGTGACAGTAATATATACTTATAACCCACACAGGGTGCAGACTAACTGCAGCACCGGCTCCCTTTTAGTGTTGGAATCATGACCAAACTAATCAATTTGATCTTGAGGCACTCAGCCGTGGCAAGACTGTTGAATGGCCTGTCCAGTGTCGAGCTGTTTTCTACTGTAGACTGGGAGCCGTACTAAAACTGACAGAAGAGAGAGACAGACCAACAGACAGACTAATTACCTTTGTCTTTGTAGAACTGCGCACCAGATCAGGTAGTAACACACGCTGCTGAATGTTTTCTTTTGTGCATTTTTCCACAAACTCCTCTGGGCAATAATGACAGTTCTTGTTCTTAAAATACTGCAAGCTACAAATCCAGTAGCTATCATTTAGTTTAAAGCTATAGCCTGTGTCAATATGTAACTATGTATTTTTTTTTACTTAACAGGACCAGAAGTGGAATTTAATGTATCGGATGGCACTTCATATCAGCATATTAACAAAAAACAGAGGATCATTTGAGGTGTGAAGACATCAGTCTTAGAGAGATCCTGTTGTCTCCATGCATCCAGGAACATCCATCTAGCCTGGAGTTCTGTTTTCCTGTATATTCTGAGCTATATTCTGCCAAACACAAATGCTGACTGTGAACTATTTGTCGCTGTTTCTTTGGATTCTGTTTGATGAGGGTCTTTTAACACCTCTTGAATCACTGTCACCAAGGAGTTCAGCACACATAGGCAGTGACAACATAATTGAGCTGTCTGGAGATGGAATTCCTAAACTCCAACGTGTTAGGCGGGGCTGGATCTGGAACCAGTTCTTTGTACTGGAGGAATATATGGGGTCAGAACCGCAGTATGTGGGAAAGGTAAAACATTTTGCTGCTGGTTCAACATACTTTGTAACTCTATATATTTTCCTTATTTGACAGAATTATGCTTGTAACAAGTTTTTAAGCTCCTGCTTAAAGTAATATTTGATAAAATAGTTCTCATATTTGTTAAACATGAGTTTCAATATAGACTTTTAATTGATAGTTATTGCACCAAAAATATGAAACTTATTTGCATTACCTAATAGACATGTATTATGTGAGAAAGTGATTTTCAGATTTACTTCATGTGTTAGTTGTTTTATTTAGATATTAATTTGTATTTGATATGTTAATATTTCTTGGCCATCTGTTAGTTCAGTATTTTAAACACAGATATCTGACGTTTGAACCAAGTCTTTGCTGCACATATCTCCACTGTCAGGAAGTGTCACAATACATTAACATGGAGAGCAAACCTGAGAAAGTCAATTTTAAATGCCACATTTTGCTTTCATTTATTTACTTTCATTTCTGCTGCTTAATCAACAGCCTAAAATAAGAAGCTTGACTTTGAAGAAAACATTTATTCAAATCAGAATCATAATGTGACCCTGAAGCAGAAATTTTTAAATTCCATAGTGCTGTCAAACATAGTTGTGAGCTGAGCAATGTCCTGCTTGTTATTATAACGTTACATCTGGCTGATTTCCTTCAACTTATCTTTTTATCTAGTTGGACTGGTGCACTGACATAAGGGCAAAAACTGCTGCTTTTGCAGAGCAGCGCAGTCAGTGTCTGATAGAGAATGAAAGGTATAACTAATGATTCCTCCTATCGCATTAATCTGCCTTGCTCTCTTGAGATTTGGGACTGAAGGGCTGGATTTTTCTCTTCTTGCCAGATTTCCAGACAGCCGTAAAACATTGGCAGACTCTGGTAAATCACATGTACCCGATGTTTCACTTTTGGAGGCAAGTATATGCTGACAGAATAGTTATAGCTCAGAAGGAGGCCGTTTGGTCCATGATGTGTGTTCTGGCTCTCTACATGATGAATTCAATAATTTCCACTGGCCTCCCATCTCTCTGTAGCCCAACGCATGCTTCTTTGTCACACAATAATTGAATTTTCTCTTGAAAGCTTTGGTTGACCCTACCTTCACCACACTGTCAGGCATTGCAGATTCTAATCATGGGAGGAGTAAAATAAAAAGCTTTTCTTTGTGTCTCCATTGCTTCTTTTGCCAATTACCTTGAATTTGTGCCCTCTCCTTCTTGATCCTCCACCAATGGGAACACTTTCTCCCTGTCTATCCTATCCAGACCCCTTATAATTTTAAACACCTCAATCAAATCTCCTGTAAACTTTGTCATCTTGAAAAATTGTCCCAACTTCTCTAATCTGTCCACTTAACGCCAGTTCCTCATTGCTGGAAACATTTCCGTGAATCCTTGCTGCACCACGTCTAATGTATTCACATTTTCCTAAAGAGTAGTGCCCAGAACTGAACACTAGACTCTAGCGGGTGTATAATCCAGGCGGAGACAATGATGTGGGGGTCATGTCACCAGACGTGTAATCCAGTCCCATCACCAGGTTCACTAAGTTTGGCAGCATCTGTGAAGACAAATCAGAGTTAACACTTCGGGTCCAGTGACCCTACCTCAGAATGTTCTGAGGAAGGGTCACAGGACCCGAAACGTCAACTCTGATTTTTCTTCTCACATGCTGCCAGAACTGCTGAGCTTTTCCAGCAACTTCAATCTTTGTTCCTGATTTACAGCATCCACAGTTCTTTCAGTTTTTGTCAAGTTCACTAAGGTCCTTTAAGGGAGGAAACCTGCCATCCTTACTGCTCTGGCCTTCATTTGACTCCAAACACACAGTAACTTGGTTGCCCTTTAAATGGTTAAGCAAGCCACTCATACCAAGGGCAATTGGGGATGGACAACTAATACTGGTCAGTGATGTCCACATCCGATTAAAGAAGAAAACAAGTATTAGGTGAGGCCAACCCAGTTCCTTCTACAAACTTTATATAACTTCCTTGCTGTTGTACTCAGTGCCCCTACTTATAAAGCCTAGGATTCAGTATACTTTATTAACTGCTCTCTCAACCAGTCTTGCTATCTTCATGACTTAAGCACATTGACACTCAGGTCCCCGTGCTCCCGCACCCTCTTTACAGCTGTTCCAGTTCCTTATAAATATTGAAATTGTGCCCCAGACTTCAAGTTCAAGGTGATATGATCTCAGCTGATGGTAATATTGGGCAAGTGAAATTGTAGGTTACATATGGATTATATATGTTTGTTTTTGCAATTGATTAACATGGTTAACATTTTAAAAGGCTGCAGATGTTCTTTCACACGAGCATGTAAGTTCAATACACAACAGAAGAAAAATGAAACAAACATATAAATATACAGAAGAGAGTTAGGAAGATTTTAACATGGCATCCAAATAAAGTTTTAACCTGTTTCCCAATGCTATCATATATCCCAGAGAAATATAACTATTATCTCAGTTTTTTACATCTTTATTTAATTAATGCTTTCCTGTCCTCCTTTTACCAACCATTTACTATTTATCTATCTATTAGATTCACTTTGATGTCCACTGATGGCTTCTTCTCATACACTCTCTTTGCATCTCTGATTTGCTGTTGACTTTTGTTCTGGTTAGGATCATATTCTGTTTTGGTATTCATTCATGGATGAAGACATTGCTGGCTAGGTCAGCGTTTAATGCCCATTCCTAATTGCCCAAAGGACAGTTGAGAGTCAACCACATTGCTGTGGGTCTGGAGTCACGTGTAGGCCAGACCAGATAAGGACAGCAGTTTCCTTCCTTCAAGGATGTTAATGAACCGGATGAGTTTTTGTAACAATCGACAACAGATTCATGGTCATCATGAGAGTCTTAAATCCAGAATTTTACTGAGTTTCAATTCTACCACTCAAACCCAGGTCCCCAGAACTTTACCTGAGTTTCTGGAATAAAGGTTCAATGATAATACCACTAGGTCATTGCCTCCCGGAGTTTAGGAGAATTGGAGTACGGGGGCGAGGGAATCTTACAGAAACCTATAAACTTCCAACAGGTCAAGACAGGCATAAATGCAGGAAGTATATTCCTGATTACTGGAAAATCCAGAACGGGCAGTCATAATCTAAGCATAAGGGATAGACCATTTAAGACTGAGATAAGGAGAAATTTCTTCAACCAAAGAGCGGTGAGCCTATGGAATTCTCTGCAATTAAGGCCAAAACATTGAATGCTTTCAAGGGGTTAGATATAGTTCTTACAGCTAAATAGATCAAAGGGTATGAGGAGAGAGGTAGATGATCAACCATGATCATATAGAATGGTGGAGCAGGCTGAAGGGACCGAATGGCCTACTCCTGCTTCCTGTTTTCTAGTTTTCTATGTTAATATGCCCACCCATTCTTTTATCACATTTTTACCATTTAGATGCCTTTAGATGACCGTGGGATTACCTTTTCTGTTTGCTGATAGCTTAATTCTCACACCGTCTCCCTCCTTCTCTCAATTGGTTTTTCATTCACCTTCTGAACCTCCTATCTTCAGCCTGAGACCCGAATGTATTATAGACCTAACATTTGTCTTCAGGTTACACTTGTTAAATATAAATCTCTGCCTCTTTCATTTAGATTTGCTTTCCCCTTTGCCCTTTGAGGGAACGTAGCTTGATTGTCCCTGACCTTTCACCTTGCTGAAGGTAGTCCATTATACACTTTTGGCAGTAGATCATGGGGATTATGCTGAGATATAATGGAGTTGGCTCATCTTTCATTCAGAGGTGAGGCATTCTTGGGAACATTGCTTCCACATACTTATTCAAGCTGGAGGTAATTTTTTTGAATATGTATTACTAGCAGAGGAGCTTTGGCCATGATCAGTGTATGACTTGGGAAAATTATTCCCTCTCTGTTTAATCCATCTTTTGAAGAGTTATCTATAAAAGAAAGCCTCTAGTAATGACACAGTGAAGAAAAGAATTAACGACAAAACTGTGCTGCTGAAGGGCTCATTTTATTCTTCAAAACTTAATTTCCATGGAAATAGATTCTCTGACAGGCACGATTACCACCCAGGCTCGGCTGATCCTGGCACAAGAAACGCAAAGTGGCACCCGGTCAAGTGCATTTTGATGAAAATTGGAATGTTCTCCAGCAGTTGTTAATGAGAAGCCTTTCCCTTCTTCCACTTCACAAATGGCTTAACATGTCCATGAAAGGCAGGGAAGGGATCCATTGTCATTCAGATGTTTACAGCTCACCCATTAACTTCAGGGTCTTGACCTTCCTCAGTTATCATTGGCCAGTATTGGGAATTGTTCTTCTAATCTTCAATGTGTCGTCTCACCACAAGGAAAAGAAACTGTGGGTGAATTTATCCCCTCACTAGTATGGAGTGAGCAGTGATGAGAAAGGTGGAGAACACACACACAAAAAAATTGAATATTGGCGTCAAGAAAACAATGAATGATTTTCTAATCAAGCCTTAGAAAATGACTTCAGAATCTTACCATTGAGTGGTGAAGGCTGCCTTTTTCACTTGCATTTGTTTCTCCTTACAGCCCCAACCCCCTTCCAAATCTCCTCTCACATAGACAGTGTCAATTGCCAGCAGGTTGAGTAGAGGGGGTGCCTGTTTGCTGCAGCTTACCAATTGCTTATCCCAGCCAACATTTGAAGGCTTCTTTATGACAATGTCTCTGCATGCTCCCTGGCCACCGCCTTCTTTGATCTTCTATCCGCACAAGTCAGCATCAACAAACCACATTATCTCCGTCACATCATCATGGTTGCTGTCAGACCAAAGCACACATCACTTCAACCCTTCAACACTTTCTCCAGACCCCTAAAGGACACAAAGGACTCGTATGCTTCTTCCAGTTTACTTTTCATGCAAGATGCTCACACTAGATGCCTAGAAATGATCCATCTTCTGGCTGTTAGCTCACTTTCTTTACGTACACTCACTCAGTTATGGACTTCCATCCTCGGTGTGGGTCACATTGCTTTCTG